AGTTACAGCTCATCGAAGCTGTTATCTTTGTAAAATGTAAGAGGGGTCAGAGCTTCTGATGTGGCCTCCCAGCAGCAGCCTCAGTGCCTTGTCAGACATCTTCTTGTTGTTGTTGTTGTTGTTATTGAGTGTTGTGGAGTTTGGTTCCAACTCATAGCCATCCTGTATAGGGTTTCCAAGTAGCAGCTGGTGAGTTTAAACTGCTGACCATGTGATTCTCAGTCCAGTGCTGACCCTACAGAGCCACACTGGAGTCCCTGTCAGACATCTAGGAGCTTGTTGGACACAGAGATTATGGGGCTCTTCTCAAACCTACATGTTCAGAAACTCTGGGGGTAGGGCCCAGCAATCTGCATTTTAACAAGCCCTCCAGTAGTTCAGTGATGATTACACACATGGACCTCTCCAGATAGAATACACAGAAATCAAATTGACTACATCTGTGGAAAGAGACGGTGGAAACGCTCCATATCATCGGTCAAAACAAGGTCAGGGGAAGACTGTGGAACAGACCATGATTTGCTTGTATGTAAGTTCAGACTGAAGCTGAAGAAAATGAAAGCAAGTCTCTAAGAGCCAAAGGAAGACCTTGAAGCTATCCCACCTGAATTTAGAGATCATCTGAAGAACAGATTTGATACATTAAACACTAAAGACCAAAGACCAGAAGAGTTATGGGATGACATTAAGAACATCATACAGGAAGAAAGCAAAAAGTCATTAAGAAGACGCGAAAGAAGGAAAAGGTCAAAATAGATGTCAGAAGAGACTCTGAAACTTGCTCTGCAGCATAGAGATGCTAAAGCAAATGGAAGAAATGAGGAGGTATGAGAGCTGAACAGAACATTTCAAAGGTCAGCTCTAGAAGACAAAGACAAATATTACAACAAAATGTGCAAAGATCTGGAGTCAGAAAACCAAAAGGGAAGAACACACTCAGCATTTCTCAAGCTGGGGGAACTGAAGAAAAAATTCAAGTCTCGGCTTTCGTTATTGAAGGTTTCTCTGGGAAAATTACTGAAGGATGCAGAAAGCATCAAAAAAAAGTTGAAGAAATACACAGTCACGGTACCAAAAGGAAATGGTTGATGTTCAATCATTTCAAGAGGTAGCATATGATCAAGAGCCAATGATACTGAAGGAAGAAGTCCAAGGTGCACTGAAGGCATTGGCAAAGAACAAGGCACCAGGAAGTGATAGAATAAAAATTGAAATCTTTCAACAAAGTGAGGCAGCACTGGATGCACTCACTCATCTCTGCCAAGAAATTTGGAAGACAGCTACCTGGCTGACTGATTGGAGGAGAACCGTGTTTACACCCAATCCAAAGACAGATGACCCAACAAAATGCAGAAATCATTGGACAATGTCTTTGATATCCCATGCGAGTTAAGTTTTACTAAAGGCAGTACAGAAACATATGCAACCATACATTGACAGAGAACTTCCAGAGGTTCAAGCCGGATTCAGAAGAGGCCATGGAATGAAGGATATCATTGCTGATGTCCGATGGATCTTGGCTGAAAGCAGAGAATATCAGAAAGATGTTTACCTGTGCTTTACCCACTACGCAAAAGCTTTCAATTGTGTGGATCATGACAAGCTATGGACAACATTGTAAAGTATGAGTACTCTGGAACATTTAATTGTGCTCATGAGGAATCTGTACCTGGACCAAGAGACAGTAGTTCGAACAGAACATGGGAACACTGAATGGTTTAAAATTAAGAAAGATATGCGACAAGGTTGTACTCTTTCACCATACTTATTCAACCTGTATGCTGAGCAAATAATGTGAGAAGCTGGGTTATATGAAGAAAAACGTGGCATCAGGAGACTCATTAACGACCTGCGATATGCAGATGATACAACTTTGCTTGCTGAAAATGAAGAGGACTTAAAACATTTACTGATGAAGATCAAAGGCCATAGCCTTCAGTATGGTTTGCACCTCAATATAAAGAAAACAAAAATTCTCACCACTGAACCAATAAACAAAATTCTTATCAATGGAGAAAAGATTGTCAAGGACTTCATTTTTCTTGGATCAGCCATCAACACTCACGAAAGGAGCAGCCAAGAACTCAAACAATGTATTGCATTAGGCAAATATGCTGCACAAGACCTTTTGTGTTGAAGAGCAAAGATTTCAGCTTGAGAACTAAGGTGCGCCTGGCCCAAGCCATGGTATTTTCAATAACCTCATATGCATGTGAAAGCTGAACAGTGAATAGGGAAGACAGTAGAAGAACTGACACTTTGAGTTATGGTGTTGGAGGAGAATATTGAAAGTGCCATGGGCTTCCAAAAGAACGAAGAGATCTGTGTGGAAGATGTCCAGCCAGAGTGCTCCTTGGAGGCCAGGATGGCCAGACTTTGTCTCTCATGCTTTGGACATATTATCAGGAGGGACCAGTCACTGGAGAAGGATATCATGTTTGGTAAGGTAGAGGGTCAGAGAAAAACAGGAAGACCCCCAGTGAAATGGATTTGCATAGTGGCAGCATCAATGGGCCCAAGCATGTCAGCAATTGTGAGGTTGGCCCAGGACCGAGCAGTGTTCCATTCTGTTGTGCATAGGGTCACTATGAGTCGGTACTGACTCGATGGCACAACCACCACCACCATCACCATTGGTTCTGTAGTTCACTAAAGAGAAGGGCCCTAGCTTAGGTTAAGGACATGGTTCTCAGCCTCGTTTGTGCATTGGAACCACCTGGAGAGCCGTAAAACAACGTCCATACCCTGGGTCTACAGTAGACTGACTGAATCAGAGGCCGTGGGAAAGTATGTTTTAAAACCTCCCCATGAGGACCACTCCAAGTCCTAGTGATGCACTGTGGGTTAATGTGCTAGACTGAAAGGTCGGTTTGAATTGCAAAGTCAGTCGGTGGTTCAAGCTCACCAGCCACTCCTCAGAAACCCTACACAGGGTCACTGTGGTCAGAATCTACTAGACGGCACTTACAATTCAGCTCCTTTAAGAGTTTGGCTCATGCTCTTTTGGCTCATGCTCAGCTGATTGTCGCTACCTGGTGGCAATACTAGAGAATTACTCCACATCTTTTCTCTAGCCTTACTGAGACGCAGAGATGCTCTGCTTTGAAATGGGAGTGGATGGGCCTGCCAGAACACCATTAAACCACTCCACAACCCACAAGGAGCTCTGGTAGCGTAGTGGTTATGAATTGGGCTGCGAACTGCAAGGGCAGCAGTTTGAAACTACCAGCTGTTCCATGGGAGAAAGATGAGGCTTTCTGCTCCCGTAAGGATTTACAGCCTCAGAAAGCCTGTACAGGGTCACTATGAGTCAGAACCGACTCCACAGCACATAACAACAACAACAACAACATCCCACAAGCGGTCAGAGCACCCACCAAAACAAGCTCCCAGTCACACCCCACTTCCCTGTCCGTTTTCAAGGTGATAGAGCCCAACTTGCCCATCCAACCTCATCTCTGACAATATCCAACAAAACTGTGCAGGCATCAAACCACCTGCAATGCCTCCGAATCTCACTTTGCTGCCTCAGGGCCTTTGCTCATGCAGCCCCTCCCACCGGAGTGCCTCCCTCTTGCTCTCATTCCACTGAGACTGTTACATGCCCCAACACTGTAGCACCTTCTCCAGATAGGTGCTCTGGGCTCCAGGCTCTGTATGTCTCACAGTGGACAAGAGGAGGACTGAAAAGGAGACATGAACTAGCAGGGTTGGGAGGAGGAGGCAGAAGTTAGGAGGTTCTGACAGGGGCAGTGTTGGCTGGGAAGTCTACAGTCCTTACCCTTTTAGACCAGTCCAGTTTCCTAGATCTTTGCTGCCACCTAGTGGCAGCATGCAAGACCACTGTTGACGTTTAAGACCATGGTTGTTAAGTGCCCTTGAGTTGGTTTCCACTCATATGGCCCCAGTATAGGGTATCCAAGGAGTGACTGGTAAGTTTGAACCACCAATCACTGTAGGTAGGGCTTAAGGCAACTTGGGCAAAAAAGGGTACCTTGGGGTTTTCTGGCTACTGGTCCCTCAGGAAAAACAAGTCCATCTCTGGAAACTTCTTAACCACCCTCCTCTCCTCACATTTGGTACCTTCCCAGTCTCTTTATAAACATCTCTGACTGACCTCTGACCTTAAGACCCAGCCTGACCCAACCTTCAGCCAGCCAGCCTCTGTTAACCCCAGTGACAGTCTGCCCCACGGCCCTGAGCAAACGCTGGTTCTGATGGGTCATTTCACCAACATTTGCTCGGCAGAGGGATGCCCAGCAGAGCCTGGGCAGAGGGCCGAGAGCGACTGAGGTCGTGTGCCCCCTGCCTGACAGGAAGTGCGGCCAAGCCTGCCAGACTTTCCTGTTTTTCTAGGTAGGTTGAAAATTGCTTTTTACAAGAAATGTGCACTTTTATGAAAATCATAGGATTTCTAGAATTTAACAAGTTATTAAAGAACAATTTTTAATGAAGTGGGCCAAAATCCATCTGGTGCCAGAACCAGTCCCAGGGAAGCACCCACAATCCTACTGCCATTAAGTGGACACCAACTCACGGTGACCTCACAAGTCAGAGCAGAGCTGCCCCTTAAGGTTTCTGACATTGTCAATCTTTACAGGAGCACACAAGCCTCAGCCTTCTCCCGGGGTTACTGTTAGCAGTTCAGTGCTTAGCCCACAGCACCACCAGGGCTCCTCGAGCTGACAGCTTGGCTCAGTCAAATTCACTGCTGAGGCCCCCGGCTGCCCCACCCACCTGGCCTCTGCCCACAGCCAGAAAGGAAGGGCTGGTGCCTCATGCCACTGGGAGTTTAGAGTTGGGTGGCCGTTCTGATGGGCAATATTCTTGATGCCTGCTGGACCTCAGGACCACAGCAACTGTTAGAGAAATACTGTGAATGGTGTCCCTGCAACCACCCCCAAGCACTCCTGAATCGAGCTAGGGGATCTGGGACTGGGGGTGTTTCTGCTCAGGGGGCACCTACACCTCCACTTCTGGTGGAGCTGGGCCAGGCTCACCTGACGGTAGGTGCAGATGATGAGTTCCCGCAGGTGGTAGTGCATGGGTGTCATGGTGTCACTGACTGTGTCCAGCGCTGCGTCCACCTCCTTCTTCACTTGGTACCCATCAGGCAGTAGCTGCACGGCCTTCAGCACCACCTGGGGCAGAGCAGGGATGAGAGGATGGAAAACCAACCCGTCCTGACCACACAGCCCTGCTTGTTCCTTAGCCTGAAACGCTGGGCACTGAGGGGGGTTGTGCTGGACATCCCTGAGGCCAGGTCCCCATGGGGCGTCTCTTTTAAGCAGCAGAAATCGACTTTAAAGAGAATCTTATCTGGAACTCCAGTCTATAAAGCAGACAGGAATGCAAGAGTAGGGGCTGGCAAGGGAGCAAGGGGAGGGGGCCAGGCCCCCAGGAGAAGACTAATCTAGGTCCTGTCGTCCCAAATGGCCCCCCGCCTTCTCCTAGGACCTGCTCTTCCCAGCCCTCCTGCACAGATCTCATTCATATAAATGGGAGACTGTCTCTCCTGGGTTTCCATCTCTTTCTTCATGATGCCCAGCCCTGAGCATATAAACTGTCCCCAAGGCCCACACAGCCTGACCACAGCCTCTACAGACAACTTAAATAACTGTACACCCCACATGGACATCAGGTTTGTCAGATAACCTCACAAGGTGTGCTTACCTCAAACTCGCCCTTGGTGAACTTGGCATCAGGCACGCTGACCAGTTCCTCCTCACCCATCTCTGGAAAGCCCTGGGGTAGGACAGCTGCTGAGACCTTGCCAACCCCCACCCTGCCCAGGAGCCCCAATGTGAGAGGTGAGTTCCAGGGTTGTCCTCAGGCCAGAGCCTGGGGGGGAGTGTCTCTCCCTGCCTACTACACGCCCACCCTCACACCAGACAACAAATACCCGGATGTGCCAGAAGGCCAGCACAGCCACCACCATCGCAGTCGTGGTCCGGCCCTGGCCGCTGAGGCAGCTGAACACAAAGCCGGTGCCCGGGTCCTTGGTGAGGGCAGACTGCAGGGTCTCAAGCAGCCGGTCAAAGTCCTAGGTCAAGAGACCAAAGTTTGAGTCCCAACATGGCCATCCAAGGAAATGACACCAGGAAATGTCCCGAGCGCTTCTCCATGCTGGGCCCTGAACCGAGTGCACCGCCATGTACATACACTACCACCATGAGCACGTGTGGCTGCCCCGTCGCAGACAGTCATGACCCCTCACCCAGGACTGGACGTAGGTACAGAGACAAAGGCACACACTTGGGGTCACATTGCCTGCCCATTCCCAGGCAGGTCGTGCATAAATGCACTCCACTCCCGATTTCTGTCCCCCTGGCCTGTATGTGGATCCAATGTGGAGCCCCCAAAGCACAGCCTCCTCATCTGCTCCTCAGCCTGCCACCCACCTAAGCTGGACCCAGGGACTAGCCTGTGAGCAGGTTTCTAGCCTCAGACAACCACTGCAGCACATGGCCACCAGGGGGCAGCAAGCCATGGGCAGTGAGATCCACAGAGCAAAGTGTGGCAGAAAATACAAGGCCCACACACAGAGCACACCATAACCCCACATACACACTCCACACAGACCCACCCTCCACACAAAAGACAGACACACTAGACATACATCAACCACATGCATGCCAGACACACAAACACACGTTCATCAGCTGCCACGAAGTCGATTCTAACTCATGCCAGCCCCATGTGGGTCAGAGTTGAACTGTGACCCTGAAGGTTTTCAACGGCTGATTTTTCAGAAGTAAGTCACCACACCTTTTCCCAAAGTGCTCCTGGGTGGGTTCACACTGCCAATCTTCCAGTTAGTAACCAAGGAGTGTATTAATGGTCTGTACCACCCAGGGACTCCACGTATACATGTAACTTAAAGACACGTAAACTACACACGCCCTCAGTCACACAAGTATTGACATGCCTTCTACTCCACACCCGGCACGCACACCTCCCCAAAGACATTCTCTTCACAATGTTGTTTTTGTTAAGTATCATCGAGTCGATTCCAATTCAGACCAACCCTGTAAAGGGTTTCCGGGGTGCAGCTGGTGGGTTTGAACCACTGGCCTTTTAGTTAGCAATCCAGTGCTTATCCTACAGCATATACCAGGATTCCACTCTCCACCGTATCTTTCAACAAAGACAACATATACATCACAAACTATTGAAACACACATTACATACATGTACACAGTCCTCAAAAACATCCCCATACTCCACACACATACTTCACGAATGCCAGGGACTAACCCATTTGCCTACAACACAACCCACGCAGACACATAGCTTGGAGGGTGTGACTAAGCTACCAGGCCAGTCTCCTGGCTGGCCGCTGCTCCCCTCCCTGGGCCATGCCCACAGCCACGGCCCAGGCTCTCACCTCCTCGCGGGGGGCACAGAAGTCTGGGATGGGGATGCGGTGGGAGGTGAGGCCGGGGTAGGCCTTGTGGTGTTGGTTAAAAACCTCCTGCATGGTAAGGCACGTCTGGAACCTGTGCGTCCTCGCGGCCTGTGCGCCCTGAGGAGCCCCACTCAGGTGGGCCTTCAGCTGGGTCTCCACATCCTGGGGAGACAGGACAGAGGACTCAGGATCTGAGATAGCTTCTGGGGCCCGTCTTCCCAAAGTCTCAGGGGTCATAAGCACACCAGGAGCCCAGGAGACAGCAAAGAAGTGCAGAGCATGTATCCAAACCAGACACCCCCCCACCTCAGACTGCCCCTCAGAGCCCTCAATATCCCCCATCTAAGCAACAGCAGCACTTAACAACAGCAACAAGCAATAAGCGCATGGTATGGAGTGCCATCGAGTTATAGCAAGAGTCCTGGTGTGGCGCTGTAGGATAAGTATTGGACCATAAGGTCTGTTTGAACCACAAGGTCAGCGGTTCAAACTCACCAGCCACACCTCAGAAACCCTACACATGGTTGCTTGAGTCAGAACAAACTTGCCAGTACTTAATAACAATAAGGTGTCCGAGGAGCAGTTTTGTGGATTTGAACCATCAACCTTGCAGTTAGTAGTCTATTGCTTACCCCATAACACCACACCAGTACTCCAACAGGAGTATAGGACCTTATAAACACCCAGCTCCTCGCCACTTCTCCAGGCCTCTGAGGCAGGAAGTCTCACCTCCAGCTGGCCTGGGGCCATGGGGGGTCCGGGCCACCACAGGCTGTGAGTCTGCCCATCACACTCCAGCACGGCCTCCTCTCTCAGGTTGACCCACACGACTTGCCGTAACTTCCTCTTGGCATCAGTCAGGTAGGCCAGGATGCCCCCCAGTGCCTGAGGGAGACAGGAAGGGGGTCAGTGAAACAAAAGGGCTTGCCCCTCCCCGGCCAGTGGACCCAGGCCCCCAAAACAGTCACCTTGGTGCTGGGTTGGGCTGTGCCATAGATGGGTATGCGGGGCACCCGCCGGAAGTTGGCCACGTCCATCTCTCTAACGGTGCTGAGCTTGTCCGGGGAGACAAGATCGTCCACCCTCTGTGGGAGAGCCCCAAGTCTGAGACCCTGAGGCCAAGGAGCTCGGGACAGAGCTGAGCGGTGGGAAGGAACCAGCATGGCATGCTTGGCACCTTCACTGTCTAGTGACAGTAAGAGGGAAGGTACCCTCCCTCCAGACAAGGATGATGTCAAAACCCAGGGCCCGACTCCTTACCCAGGGTTTGAGACTGAGGGAAAGGTCCTGAAGGAGCGATGTCCCCGACAGGAGAAACCCTAACCACTGCCCCGGTGAGGGTAATGCTTACCCCTGTCCCACGGACCCCTCAGGACAGCCAGCCAACTCACCAGGGAGCCTTTGGCAATGAGGTCCTCGGGGGCCAGAGGTCCCACTGAGCTCAGTGTCAGGGGCAGGCGGTACAGCTCCGAGTGGGCACACAGCCAGCGGCTGAAACTAAGGGCAAAGGCCAGCCGGTACTGCAGACCGAGGCGAAAGAGACAGAGAGTTCAGGGCACAGGGCCACTGGAACTTGCCCCACAGTAGGGGAGCCTTGCAACAATCCACTAGGACCCCCAGGAGGAACAAGAGCAGCAGGGGAGGCCCTGATGTCCAGAGACCAGGGTCCCGGGTAGAGACATGGGCTGCTCAGGGAAACCCCTCTATCTGGGCCTCTGACCCCACATCACCCATGCCACCTCCCTCTAGGGCCAGCACCACTCTCCTCCCAGTGCCAGGTTGGGCCCTAAGGGGCTTGAGAGGAAGGGGGTCTGTTCATCCCCAAGCCTCACCTGCTCATGGAGATAATAGTTAAATAGGATCAGGTAGAAATATCGCTCCAGGCTCAGCAGCGCCCTCTGCTGGAGGCTGTGCTGGCTGCCGCTTCCCTGAGAGGAGGAGAACAGGGTTGGTAGGGCATTAAAGAAGGGGGACCCAAGCTGCTATGCCCAGTCTCTGGAGGCCCAGAAGTTAAGGGTCAGAAATCTCCCAAGACAGGCTTTCCTCCCTTTCTAACAGTTCGGCTAGGCTAGAAGTTCTTCAAAGCCTCTATTCCTTCTCCACTTCCCAGTTACTTCATGGTGAGCTACTGGAGACCCTCTCCAGGCCCCATATTATCACAGGGACACCTCCCCAGGAGATGGGAGCACAGATCAGATCAGACTGCTCGCCCCTGGCCCCCAGGCTGCGCATCAGGTGCAGACGCCTATACGCCCTTTTCAGGGCCTGGGGACCCTACATAAGAACTCCAACCTTCTCCACAGGAAACCAGTCAGTGACAAGTCTCAGAATCCCAGTCCAGCATCCTCTGGGCTTGTCAAGAAATGATCCCAAAGGCCCCCTCTCAAACTTACTAGGTCAAACTTACTGGTTCTGCTGGATCAGAACCGCCCTGTAGGGGGCCACCAAAATGAATGCCTAGTCCTAAGGCAGGCCAGGGTCTTTGGTGAAGTCCTAGCGCACCTTTAGAAACTAAGACTATAGAGGCCAGACAGTAAATACTCTAGGACTGTGGCTACTTGGGCTCTGGGGCAGCTGTTCAGCTCTGCAGTATGACTGCAGCCACAGACTGTCCGTAAACCAAACGGCCAGGCTGGTTTCCAATAAAACTTTATTTATGAAAACACGTGGTGAGCTGGAGGTGGGGCAGTAGTTTGCGGATCCCTAATACTAGTGTGGTGCTGTGGGTTAATGAGCTGGACTCCAAGGTTGGCAGTTCAAGCTCACAACCGCCCCTCAGAAACCCTATCCAGGGTAGCTATGAGTCAGAACCGACTTGACAGCACTTTACAACAGCAACAACAAATACTGGGGTTGCGCTGTAGGTTCATGTGCTGGACTACAAAGTTGGTTTGAACTGCAAGGTCGGTAGTTCAAACTCACCAGTTGCTCCTTGGAAAACCTACACAAGGTCACTATGGGTCAGAACAGACTCTATGGCACTTAACAACAACAGCACTGTAGACTAATGGTTTTTAAAATTTTCTAGTCTCACCATAAGAAGATTCTCATCATAAAAATGCTCACACTGCTGAGGAACTAGAAGCAGTTCCACTGTCAGGTAGCAAGGAGGACACTCTAAACACTACACAGTTCTCCTTCAGAAGCACACGGACTGAACATGTGACGCGTTTTACCTCACGTAATCCCCATCACAACTCGATGAGGTGGTTACTACTACTGGTCCCCACTTTACAGATAAGGAAGCAGGCACAGAAAGCGAAGCAGAGTGCCCCAGTCCATGCAAGCTGTAGCTGACAGCGCTAGGACCAGAACCCAAGCAGATAGGTGCAGAGCCCGTGCATGCTCTTGTTAGGCCAGAGAAGGCAGAAGCAGCCAGAAGTCTCTAACTGCACAGTCACTAAAACCTCAGCATGAGAGCCAGTGTTGACATGGCAAGGCTGATGCTGTAAAGTCAAACAAAAGCAGTGGGATGCAAACGTGGTAGGATGGCCTACGTGAGAAAACCTAAGCTTAAAAAAGGGTAGAAACAGCCCAAACTGTGCAGCGAAGCTCATGGGAGAGCTCTCCTATGTCGTCCTCCTCTCTGCTCCCCAATTCTCTGTAACATAATATTGCTGCTAAATTTTCAAAAGAGAATTAAAGAAACAGGCTCCAAAAATGTAGAAGAAAATTCCAACTTCTCATGGAATCCAGATTTTCTGCAGCCATGGAGGCTGAACAAGCCCCCAGAACAACTCTTGTCCTGAGATAAGCTTTGAACCTTAATCCAAAAGTATTTCCTGAAATCTTAAAAGAAAATAGTTTAGCTTAACTAGTAAACAAATGTCTGCCTTGAGCCTTGTGCTCTTTTAAGAATGATCTGTCTGTGGTCAAAGTCACAACAGCGACCAGGAAGGTTAGACAGAAACCTTAGGGACCAGGGAGTTGATGTTAGTGAGGGAGGGTGACAACAAGACACAAGTCAAAGATTGTATCAATGACACTGAAGTGTACATGCAGAAACTCTTGCATTGGCGTATGTTCGGCTGTGTGTATTTTCAGCAAATACATATAGATGTTGTTAGTGTTGTTTAGTGCCATCGAGTCGGTTCCAACTCATAGCAACCCTGTACAGGGTTTCCAAGAAGCGGTTGGTAGGTTTGAACCACCGACTTTGTGGTTCAAACCGACCTTGTAGTCCAGTACTTATCCTACTGTGCCACACCAGGGTTTTCTGTTTTATATTTTTTAAAGAAGGCTCTGAAGGCTTACGATTCTTTCCAGGCACTGTGAACACACACCTGCAAAGCTGACCTCCTCTCCCCAGGGCATGGGGACAGGATCTGCAGAGAGAGCTAAGAATACATCATTGGACAAATAGCAGGCTGGACCAAACCCTAGCCTTTCCAAAGAAGCACAGGGATTTATTTTGGGGACACCATGAGCTATCTGGGAAGTATCTATAACCAGAGAACTATCTGCGGCCAGCAACCCCTCCTCCGTCCTGTTTATCCTGCAGCTGAGGGACCTGTTCAGGGAAAGTAAACTTCCCTCTTCCTTGTTGGTCATTCCTGCAGGCCCAGCCCTGTCATATCCCAGGAAAAGGTGATCTGGCAGAAACCAACCACCAGACCTAACAGAATCAGGCTGCGGCGCGGCTTCAGGAGCAAGGGCTACCATACCATGTGTCTGTGCCCTTACCTGGGCTGGGCTCCCCTGCCGGGCACTTTCCAGTTTCTTCTGGTTTTCCAAAATCAGTTCCTTCATGTCATGTAACTCGGCACAGGACGTAATGGCTCTGTCCACCTGGTCCCCAGACCAGGGCACAGGGAAGACGGCAAAAGAGAAGAGAGAAACATCAAGAGAAGAGTGGACAGTAGGCCCCCAGCAATAGGCGGTGTGGTTGCCCCCTTCCCACCCCACCCCCACTCACCTCCTCCACCATCTTTCTTCCCTGGGGCACTGTGTGGAGAAAGTTCTGGATCACCTGGAACTGCTCCACAGGTGGTGGCTTGGTATGCAGGGGGACAGCCCTGACAAGGAAGGGGGGTCACTGACAGGCATCAAGGCTCCCAGGGGCGCTGGGGTAACCACACTGCCCACTCCCTCCTGCTCATGGGACCAGTGAGAGACGACAGGTACCAAGTCTGCTCTCTGAATGAGGCTGGTGGAGGCAAGGGGTATTTCTCCCCCTGGGGAAACTGAGGCCTAGAAAGGTCAAGTGACTTTCTCTAGGTCACCTGGTGAACCTGTAGCAAATTAGGAGATGGGCGCCAGAGGGTCCACTTCCCAGCTGAGTCCCAGCTCTAGACACGTCATCCCCAAGGCATCCCACCCCTCCTCTCTGTGCCCCTTCACCCCCTCCCCCTGCTCCCTGAGACACCAAAGTCCAGGTCACTCACTCTGGCCGCGAGGCAAACCCGCTGCGGTGAAACAGGAGGAGGGTGCCCAGGACCATGCCCAGGTTGGTCCTGCCCACGCCTGTCTGGCAGTTAAAGAGGAGGGCAGGGGGAGGCCCCGGAGCACCACAGAGAAGCAGCAAACTGGGGGTCTCCTGAGGAAAGATCACAGCTATCAGGCCACACCTGGTCCCAGACACCCCCTGGCTGAGTGGATCATGACATCAAATCTGTGATTCAGTCTCTTAAACCAGTTGGGATGGTGGACAAGTTCCCCAAATCCCATAACCCCATCTGCTCCACCTGCCCCATGATCACAGCCCAGCCTCCAGCCAAGTCCTTGCTGGAAGGCCTCTGGAAAAGAGACTCTACAGAGGGGACAAAGCATGGACTGGACACTCCTGAGAAATGCAAATTAAATATGAAAACGGATGTCCCAAGGGCTAGGACAGAAGCTGGCACATGACCACAGCTCAAGAAGTATGAGCTAAGAAATTGAGGAAACTGAGGTCTGAAGACATTAGGTGATGTGTCCAAGTCAGCAGCCCTGCCAAAACCAGAGTCCAGTTCTCGAGATGGTCAGTGCTGGACTCCTTCACTCAAGAACGTACAAGTATAGATCTACACAGAGACACCAGACATACACACAGACCCACAGACATGAACACACAAATACATGCACAAATAGATACACGTATCATCCAGAGAGAGCATAGACACACAAACCCAAACACACAGGGGCACACACAGACATACACAGACACACACAGACATACACAGACATACCTACACGATCCCGAGACAGATGCACACAGACATTCAGAGGCACACAGATGTGTACATACACCCTACAGAGATACACACTCAGTCTCAGGAATACAGACAATTATACACATGGACACACAATCAAATATAAACACAGATACACATAAGGTACATATATACCCACAGACACACACTGAAATACCCAGACACATATATACACACACACACACGCTAAGATACACACAGACATATATATACACACAGACACACTCAGTTACCCCAGACACATATAATGTACATACAGACACATATTCATATATGCAGACACATAAACACAGACACACTGAGATGCACACAGACTCACATAATGCACATACACACCCACACAGAGAACAGACATACATCCCCACACTCAGATACACACACAGACACACGCACGTTGACACTCATGACCTCTGGAAAGCCAAAGGTCATATCTCAGTGCACCACCATGAAGACAGGGTCCAGACACCGCCTCTCGGGGGCACCTGCCCCACTCCCCTCACACCCCCACTTACCCGGACGACACTGACAAAGGCATCAAACTGGGCTTCTAGGGGCGCCCCTTGCTCTGGCAGAGGCAGGCGGTGGTACCTGCCAGGTAAGGGGGAGCAGCCCATCAGGCAGGCCACACAACTGGGCATACCGCCCTGCCCCATACTGCCATGCAATGGCACCACCATGGAGAGAGAAGGGGGTGGGAACTCAATCCAGCCTGCAGATGAGGAAACTGAGGCCACAGCAGGGGTCAGTGGGCAGGAGCACTCATGTCAGCACCCTGGGGTTCCACTCAGCCTGGGGCACTGGGGTACCTACAGGTGGGCTACAGGAAGAGGGGATAACACTCAGCCTGGGGCACTGGGGTACCTACAGGTAAGCTGCAGGAAGAGGGGGTAACACTCAGCCTGGGGCATTGGGGGTACATACAGGTGGGCTGCAGGAAGAGGGGGTAACACTCAGCCTGGGGCATTGGGGTACCTACAGGTGGGCTGCAGGAAGAGGGGGTAACACTCAGCCTGGGGCACTGGGGTACCTACAGGTGGGTTACAGGAAGAGGGGGTAACACTCAGCCTGGGGCACTGGGGTACCTACAGCTGGGCTGCAGGAAGAGGGGGTAACACTCAGCCTGGGGCATTGGGGTACCTACAGGTGAGCTGCAGGAAGAGGGGGTAACACTCAGCCTGGGGCATTAGGGTACCTACAGGTAGGCTGCAGGAAGAGGGGGTAACACTCAGCCTGGGGCACTGGGGTACCTACAGGTGGGCTACAGGAAGAGGGGGTAACATTCAGCCTGGGGCACTGGGGTACCTATAGGTGGGTTACAGGAAGAGGGGGTAACACTCAGCCTGGGGCACTGGGGTACCTATAGGTGGGTTACAGGAAGAGGGGGTAACACTCAGCCTGGGGCACTGGGGTATCTACAGCTGGGCTGCAGAAAGAGGGGGTAACACTCAGCCTGGGGCACTGGGGTACCTATAGGTGGGTTGCAGGAAGAGGGGTCGCTTGTACACCTCTTCTGTCACGTGCACGTCATCTTCACCTCGGATGGCCACGGCATGGGGCTCCCCCCGCAGGTCCTCGGGGTTGTGGTACACATGGTATGTGTTTTCACTCAGCTGGGCAAAGTCAAGAATCTAAACCAAAGTGTGGGGACCAGAGGGCCATGACACACCCATGGCGTCCTCCCTGTCCCCTCCCTGACCTTCCTGCACTGGCAGGCTTCTTTCCCTCAATGAGGAAACCAGGTGGCCAGAAAAGTTCTCTATGACCAAGACATCCTGAGGGGACCAGGTGACCACCGGCACCTGGACTACCATGCCCACACTGGGGCCAGGCAGGAAGGGCCCTGCCCAGAGGACAGGAGAAGTTAACCAGCACCTGACTGCAGGTCAGGGGGAGGTCACATAGCAGGTAGGTGGAGGAGGAGGGAGCAGAGAACACACAAGGCTGTGGGGGGCCCCGACCTCACTCCTGCCCACAGGGCTCTGGGGGGCACCATGACCCCATGCCTCTGTGACCTTGGCGAGCCCCTGTGTTTGGTAGAGGAGAAGAAAAGAAGATCCTCAAAAGCTACCCAACGTTAAAGAATCACAAAGACCCTGTGAAACACCTCACAAACTGACCGAGAGGACAGACAGCACGCTGAGTGACATTAGTCAATCACAAGATGACAAGGATTGTACGTAACCACTACCGTAAAAAAACGCCAAGAAAAGGTTTACACACAGAATCATTCTTTGAAGGTTACCAGGGTGGGAGGGGAAGAGAGGGTAAATTGCGAGCTAGGGGAAAACTTGTACTGACTTGGGAGAAGGGGAAGGTAATCTAAAATAAGGGGGTGGGGGCAGCAGAAAATGATCAAGGCCAAGAAAGACATTGGAAAGAGTACAAAAGTCAAAAGGGCCAAGGCTGCTTTCGGCTGTGTGGATCATGGCAAACTATGGACGACATTTCAAAGAGGGGGAACTCTAGAACACTTAATTGTGCTCTTGAGGAACCTGTACACAGACCTAAACAGAACAAGATACTGAATGGTTTAAAATCAGAAAAGGTATGTGTCAGGGTTGTAATCTTTCACCATACTTATTCAACCTGTATGCTGATCAAATAATCCAAAGAGCTGGATTATATGAAGAATAACCTGGCATCAGGTGGAGGGAGACTCATTAACAGCCTGCGATACACAGATGACACAACCTTGCTTGCTGGGAATGAAGAGGAATTGAAGAACTTATTGAGGAAGATCAAATACTACAGCCTTCAGTATGAATTGCACCTCAATGTAAAGAAAATGAAAACCCCGCAACTGGACTATCATGATAAATGGAGAAAGTATAGATGTTGCCAAAGACGTCACTTTACTTGGATCCACAATCAACGCTCATGGAAGCAGCAGTTAACAAATCAAATGACGTACTGCATTAGGCAAATCTGCTGCAATTGGTCAGGTTGACGACTAAGGTGTGCCTGACCCGTGCCATGGTATTTTCAATCACCTCATATGCATGCAAAAGCTAAGCAGTGAATAAGGAAGACCACAGATGAATCAATGTATTTGAATTACGGTGTTGGTGAAGAGTACTGAAAGTACCATGGACTTCCAGAAGAACAAACAAATCCGGTTTGGAAGAAGTACAGCCAGATCAATCCTTAGAAGAAAGGATGTCAAGACTCCATCACTCATGCTTTGGACATATTGTTTTGTTTGGTAAAGTGGAGGGTCAATGAGAAAGAGGAAAACCCCCAGTGGGATGGACTGACATAGTGGCAACCACAGTGGGCTAAAACATATCAACAGTTATCAGGATGGCAAAGGGCAGAGCAGTGTTTCTGTTGTGTATGGGGTGAGTCAAAACTGACTTCATAGCACTCAAATAACACAACTACATATGCAATCCTGCAATAACAGTAACAACAATATGAGTGCATACATAGACATGCAAGCAAAATAGATGTGGGAAAGCAAATAAGACTACACCATATATGCAAGAAAGATCGTAGAAGAATTGATGCCTTTGAGTTGTGGTGTTGGAGGAGAATACTGAGGGTGCCATGGACTGCCAAAAGAACCAATAGATCTGTTTTGGAAGAAGTGCAGCCAGAGTGCTCCTTGGAGGCCAGGATGGCTAGGCTTCGTCTCTCATACTTTGGACATATTGTCCAGAGGAAACAGTCGCTGGAGAAGGATGTCCTGCTGGGTAAGGTGGAGGGTCAGAGAAAAAGAGGAAGACCCCTAACGAGATGGATTGGCCAGGTGGCATCATTGATGGTCTCAAGTGTGGCAGCAGTAGTGAGGTTGGCCCAGGATCAGACATTGTTTCGTTCTGCTGTGCATGGGGTCGCTATGAGTCGGTTCCGACTCGATGGCACCTGACAACAACAACAACAATATATGTTTGACAGAGAATATTTGTACATGTATTTACTTACGTTGCAAATATCTCCATGAGTATAGTAGAACACGTTAAGCACCATTGAGTCAGTCCCGTCTCATAGGAATCCCATACAGGGTTTCCGAGGAGCAGCTGGTGTGTGTGAACTGCCAACCTTGTGGTTTGCAGTCCAGTGCTGACCCCCCAGCGCCACACCAGGAGCCCATAATAGAGTACTGTTGTTGTTAAGTGTCGTTGAGTCAGTTCTGACTCATAGCGACCCTGTGTATAAGGAGCAAAAATTGGAAAACTTCTTAGTCATAACCAAGCACCTTGAGGGAATGAGTTGCTGTACCCCCAGGGCTCAGGGTCACAGTGTCAGGAGACACTATGGTCACTTGGCATAACCTAGTCCACAAAGACAATGCTCTACATCCTACTTTGGTGAATAGAGTCTCTAAAGCTTGGGAACAGCCAACTAAGGCTGATCATCTATTGGTCTCTCCCTGTCCAAAGGAAAGATCAGTGAAGACAATCCAACAGAGGAGGAAACAATTAGTCCACAGGACGAATGGACCATGTGAACCTCAGCCTCCTGGACCTGCCACTAAGAAAACCTAGATGATGCCTAATTACCACTGCTGACCACTCCGAAAGGAATCACCATAGGAAGTTCTGAATAGAGTGGGAGAAGAGTGTGGAACAAAATTCAAAATCATTTAAAAAAAAAAAAAAGCCCCAGCTTCCTAGTCTAACAGACATGGAACCCCTGAGGCTATGGCCCTAAAACACTTCAAGCCTGCAACTCACCTGTGTGGTTCAGCTTTCAGCCAAGTGACCGCTCTGTGAGGTGAGCAAAGATACAGGCAGGTGCTCACTCCCTAGACCACGGGTGGGGAACCTTTTCTCTGCCAAAATTTATAACACCATGGCCCATTAAATTATCAACTTAAAAATTAGCCAGCTGTATTCGGTCAAATATTTAATTATTGTTGTAAAGTGCCATCAAATCAGTTCTGACTCACAGTGACCCTGTATAGGGTTTCTGAGGAGCAGCTGGTAAGGTTGAACCATTGACCTTGTGGCTCAAACTGACCTTGAGGTCCAGTACTTATTTTTACACCATACCAGGACTTAAGTTAACTCACCCCTAATGTGATGGCTGGAGCTGTGGGTTGCCTTGGCATGACCAGAACAAATGATTTCATGGGCCAGACATTCCCCACCCCTGCCCTAGGCCAGCCAACTCTATGAGATTAAAAGACACCATCTGCCCAGGGAAGGAGCTCAGAAGGCAGGAAAGGATAGGAAAGGAAGACAAATGAAAAGGGAAACCACAGGGAGGAAGTGGAAAGTGTGCAATGGGGATTGCAATCCATGTCACAAAGCAAACTGTGTATGAACTGTTGTTCAACAGAAAACTAACTGGCTCTATAAACATTCACCAAAATCACTCATTCTCTCTCACACACACACAGACACCGGAGCCCCACAGAGAATGGCTCACCAAGCCTCCCAGCTCTAGTGCTTTTCACTGTGAAAAGGGCAGAGGCAAGAGTGCCCAGCCTCACAGCAAGACACTCACTCGCGAAGGGTGGGAAAGTGGGGAACGTGTGGGCTGGTCCTTAGACGTGAGACTGGCAAGACTTAATCTCTCATACTTTGGACATGTTGTCATGTTTGGCAAAGTTAACGATCAACAAAAAAGAGCAAAGCCCTGATGCAAAGCTGAGCTGGGGTCAGAAGCCTTCAGGGAAAAGGGGCTCCCACCCACCCCGTCTGACCTCACCTCTTTCCGGATGGAAAGTTCCAAGCTCTCTGCCCGGATGCCAGGTCCCAGGTCCCGCAGGTTGTCAAGAAGGTTCTGTTTGTCGCGAGGGGTGTAAGGCAAGAAGTCCTCTCCAGCTCGCAGAAACAGCACAGGTTCCTCCCGCAGACACAGGACGAGGCACTCCTGAGGGGCCCGGGCCAAGAAGTCATCGCCTCCCCTTCCACCTGCCCACCCTCCAGGCCTGGTCCTCGGTCCTCCAAGCCCATCCCCGCCCGCGTCTCTGCAGCCTGAATCCCACCCAAGGAACAAAGCTCTGTTCAGATACGACTTCCTCATAGGCCTGCCTCCTCTCAGCGCCAACAGTCCTTAGCTGAGTTCTCATGGCGCTAATTACTACTTTGTACACCTTTATCCAAGAAAACACCTTTTCTCCCATACTGGACAAGTTTCCCTCAAGTAGAATCAGGTCCGGTTCCCATTCAGGTGCCCATCATTCCTCACGTAAAGTTGTGGCTCAATCAAATGCTTGATAAGCATCCGCTGAAGAAATGAATGCCTCCTCCAACATCACCAACATGCAATCATTCATTCATTGAGCACCAAACCGGCAGAGACAGATAATGAGGGTAGACCCCCACCTCAAGACGAGTAGAGGGGACCTGGGCACAGTCAACACCCCCACCCCACGCTGGCTCACTCAAGACCCTGCCACCCTAGCCCCCGGGGTCGGCCCTTAGCAAGCCTGTGGTCACAATAGCCCTAGAAACACACAAACCCAGCATCAAGCAGGAGAGAAACGCATTTGAAATCCAGCGCCTGGGTTTAAGTCTGGGACCACTACTCACAAGCTGTGTGGCCTGGGACAAGTTATTTATCCTCTCAGACCCTCAGTTCCCTCTTCTGTAAAATGAGACAATGACTGTCCCGCCCTCATTCATGGCCACCTAGCACAGGTGAGCACTTTAAAAGTGTGACCTGGCTCATTACCTGGGACGCTCACCAGACCAGGCTCCTTGTTTCCTCCACGTCTCTCAGAGTTGGGTGGTCAGGAGTGTCTGACCACGGTGTCCACCCACACTGACCATCCATGGCTACCACCTTCCAGCATGTGGCCAGGCCCCTTCAGAGCCTCTGAGCTTACCCATCCCAGGAGCCCTTTTCCCAGATTTGGGAGCTAGCTGGGGAGGTGGGGTCTACCCTCATGCTTACCCTGTGCCCGTCCTTCTGCAGTGTCTGGAGAACCTGTCGGAAGCCCAAGAGACTGGGCTGTCCCATGCCAAACACAGGAAGCCCACCCCGAACCTGCCGGAAGTTAGGAGCCCCCCAGTTGCCCACAGTGCCCAGCACGTCCTTCTTCTTGGCCACATCCTGCACCATGAAGTAGCGGCCCTGCAGGGAAGAGAGCCACAGGGTCACTCAGCTGGTTCCAGCCTGGACTCTGTCTCAGGCCCCAGGGCGGGAGGGTAGATGGGGCGCAGGGGGGAGTACGGCTCTGCCCTCAAGCTGCCTGCAGCGTCATGAAGAAAAAAGGCAAAATATGTGAGTGTTTGGATCGGTGGAAGCGAGCCATAGAGTGCTGGGGACGAGAAAGACTCCTACTGGAGGAAATCAAAGAAGGCTTCATGTAGGAGGTGGCACCTATGGAAGAAAGCCAGAAGAGCTACACCAAGGGGCAGGAAACCAAAGGTGACTCAGGGTGAGCTGCAGCTTCCAGCAGGGAGGCAAATGTCTCTCACTCCAGTGCAAGTTCATGAGGAAGGGGCCCAAGGAGAGAGTCAAAGCTGGAGCGCCAGGAATAAACCAGAGGAAAACCGAGCCAGCCCTTTCCTTAGGGCCAGTTCTAAGGATGCGGCCAGGCTGGGATGAAGGTCCACATGAACAAGAAGGGCAGATGGCTGGGCAAGGTCAGAGAGCATCAAATAGTTCATTCCTGAGCAAAAAAGGAGCCCCAAGATCATCTCTTCCACCCCACTGCCTCTGTCAGGACCAACACCCATAGGGCTTGATAGGCAGGAGCTAGAACCAGTTCTTCCAGAAGAACCAGAGATTCCTAAGGACTATTTCAACAAGTATAGATTTACCATCATGATTATTCACTGAACATTTACTGAGCACCTGCATTGTATCCTGAGAAGACAGCAATAACCGAGATAAATTTTAAAACATCAGTTCTCAGAGACTTGGCTTTCTAGGGAACACTGAAAGCTAAAAATAAAACAACATCAGCTAAGCCAGACAGTTATGTCTCAAAAGAGAACAGGATGGAGATTCCCAACCTGGGGAAAGAGAGGCTGGGGTCGCTGAGCCTTCTGTAGGGCAGGGACGGGGGGCTACTTGTCTCTGTCCTCCTGGGTGTTTCAGGGTAGAAGGTGTTCAGTAGGCTGGGAGCAGGCAGTAGAAAGACGGAGACAGCTGAGCAGGGGTCTCCACAGGGCAGAAAGAATGGGCCCTCGAAACCCAGGAGCAAGAAAAAGTGTTAATTCCACTATATCTCAAGGGTCTAGAAGACAGTGAGGCTACCCTGGCCCTTTAGCGGGGGTGAGGCAGTACAACAAAGACAGAAGGAATGGGGGAGAGCAGGCGGAAGATGAGGGAGAGAGCCCACGAGGAAGTGGGCTGGAGGACTGGAAAGGCCTGACCTCACCTGCACCAGGTAGTGCTCTGGGGTAGTGTCTGAGAGTCGGCCCAGTGTATAGTGAGCCTTGAGCAGCTCATCGTGGATCTGGAACTCCTCCTTACAATTGTACCTACACAGGGCAAACAGAGGCCGAGTCAGGCTTCCCCCATGGCCAGGGCCCACTCTACCACCGGAGGGTCACCCCATCTGAGCCATGCAGCCATCTGTAGCAGAGACTGCTCACTACTTCTTAATACCCGCTTTCTTTGTTTTCCTTCACTGCTCACTGCCACCTCATAGTGACTACACACGGTTTCCAAGACTGTAAATCTTTATGGGTGCAGACAACCCCACAGCACAGAATCAAACTGCCCCACAGGTTTTCTAAGGCTGTAATCTCTACACAAACAGACTGCCACATCCTTCTCCCAAGCTGGGTGCAATCAGGCACCTCACCACCAGGCTCCCAGGACTCTTTTCCAACAGAACCCCCAACATGTGATTGGCTACTGGACCACACCCTTGCAGCTACATGTGCTCATGTGATATAAGTCCTGGCCAATGGGATAAAAGAAGTGATGTATAACAACTTCTAGGCCATTGCCTTAAAGGAAGGTGCATGCCCCCCGTTTTGTATTCTTTCCCTAGTTAAAACCTAGAAGCCATAGCAGGACGTAGAACAGCCATCTTGGACCACAAGCTGGAAGTCATTAAGTGATGACGGTGGAACCACGGAAAAGCTGTAGCCTGAGTGCCTGATGATCATGAAGCGGCTATACCAGCCTGGCTGCCCCTAGACTCGTATATGAGAGCAAGATTATAAGCGTTTGTACCATCTCAGGTACCCTACTGCAAGTTCAAATCCATTCAGAGGTGGCATGCACCTCAGAAAAATGGCCCACCAAACTATGTCTCATAACCATGAAAACCCTACATAACACAATTCTACTCTGACACACATGGGGTCACCATCAGTCAACTTGATGGTGACTAGTTTATTGAGGGTTACTTTGCTACAGCAATCTAACCGGTCCCTGACTAATGCACTCTCATCTAGTCCGATGACCCTTCAACCTATTGTAAATATCTCAGAACACTCCCCACACTCCCAACTGCCAGCACAGCGGAGGGGGGTTCAGACAAATGACAGGTAGAGACATGGGGCCTAGACATGAGTCTCAGCGCCACTGCTTAGTAATTCTATGGCTTTGGACAAGTCACTTACCCTCTCTGCACCTTAGTTTCCTATAATGCCTAACCCTTAGAACTGATGTAAGAATTAAACGTGGCAACGCCCAGTGCTGAGGCACAGTAGGCTTTACTCAATACAGTTACTACTCAAAGCAACAGGTCTCCCACCACATGGCCACTTCAAACAAAGCCCACAAGTAAAACCCCTGTTCTTGTAGATGCTAAACCAGAGCAAGGCTCAAACACGCAACACACTACAGCTGCGGTGCGGGCTGTAACAGCGGGTAAGGCAGTCTCCAGGGCTTGTGATTTGGTGTTTGGTTTTCTTTACACTAGAAGGGCCTTTAGGAAAGGCAGCAACGTATGTGAACTTCCTCTGAAAACGTTCAGCCAAACATTATTTTCAAAACAGTCTCCCTCAAGTTCACTCCTGTGCCATCATCTCGACACATGACCTGAGGTAGGAAAATCCCTCAAACGCCATAAGACTCGTTTTATGTGTAAAATGAGGGAGCTGCAGTTGATCAAGTGTCGGCCCACCTTTTCTATACAGGGCCAGGTAATAAATTGACTCCATCAAAGCTATTCAATTCTGCTCGGAAGCTCCGAGCAGCCGAACACAGTATGGACATGAATGGGAACTTCCGTGCTCCCAAACAAAACTTGATTTACAAAAATAGGGGCCCATAGACAGTCATCTGTCAATCCCTACAAAGATAAGATCTAACATCTCTTATGAAGTCACTGGGTGGTGCTAACCCAAACGTTAGAGGTTCAAGTCCTGGAGGCGTCTCAAAAGAAAGTCCTGTCAACCTCCTTCTAAAAATCAGCCACTGAAAACCCTAGGGAGTACAGTCCTATCCTGACACACATGGGGTCACTGTGAGTCGGAATCAGCTCCAAAGCAACCTTCCAACTGCAACACCCTTCAATTCAAGGAGTTCTGTACACTCAGCTAACGCCAGGCAAGCTACAAATACCACTGTAACCAATTCACAAAGATGTTCTAAGTCACATCAAAACCCTAAAGGAAATCCACTGCTGTGTAGTGGATTCGGACCCGGAGCAGCCTGACAGGACAGAGTAGAACTGCCCCGTAGGTTCCAAAGCTGTAATCCTTACCCAAGTGGACAGCCACGTCTTTGTCCTGGGGAATGGCTAGTGGCCTTCTGATTAGCAGCCAAGTGCTCTATCTGCACCACATGGCTAAATATTTTCAGTCAGCCCTGATTATACTGATAAGGAAACTGAGTCCCAGGCAGGGAAAGACTTGTCCAAGGTCACAAAGCAAGTAAGAGGCAAAGCTGGACCCAGGACACATGTCTCCAACACTGTCCCCAATCCCCAGACCTAGTTTCGTCATCCGCTCTAGTCACTGCAGGGAACCATCGAGTTTATTTCAACTCACAGCTAGTAAAACTGCCCCATAGGATGTTCTGGGCTGTAATCTTTATGGGAGCAGGTTGCCTGCCAGGGCTTTCTCTCATGGAGCTGCTGGGTAGATTTGAACTGTTAGCCTTCCATTTAGTAGTTGAGCACTTAGCCATCACGCCACCAGGGCTCCCTGTCTGTCATCAAAGAAAGGAAACCTGAAGCCTCTTTCATGCAACATCTCATCCCCGCCCTTCCCTTATCAGGACCACGGTCATTCACAATGATGACAGTTTTCCTGTCACATTGGCGGTCCCTTCTGCAAGGTCTCTGCCAAAGTTCTATGAGTGGAACCGACTGCATTCTGAGCTCACAGCTTCCTGTTGTCCTGGAAGGACCCAGAGGTGGGGTGGAGGGGGGAGTTAAGGGGAGCAGATGTGATGGAAAGTACATGGCTCCCACTTGACCAGGAGGCAGGTATCCAACGTCCCTGTCATCTTCCTGCCGGGCCCATACATCAAGCTTTCTGGGCCCCCCTTCCTGAACACATCCTCTACACACAGCCTACTTAAATCTCCCTCAGAACCAACCCTGAACCTCTTCAGGGAACATCCCTGAGGGACACAGATGAGGAGATGCAATCCAGCACCTGCCAGATTTTCCAGTCCAAAGCCCTTAAACTGCCTAACGGGAACCTCAGTGTTAACACATAATTAACGGCTATGGGAAAAAATCTAAATGTCATGTATCTAAGTCCTAGTGTGACGTTGTAGGATAAGCACTGGACTGCTAATTGCACAGTCAGTGGTTCAAACCCACTAGCCACTTCTTGGGAAACCCTATACAGGGTCACTGTGAGTTGGAACCAACTTGGCTGCACTTAAAAACAACATCAAGTATGTAATAAGGAGCCCTGGTGGTACTGTGGGTTAGGCATTAGGCTGCTAACCACAAGGTCAGCAGTTCAAAACCACTCCATGGGAGACCGATGAGGCTGTCTGCTCCCATAAAGATTTACAGTTCTAGAAACCCTAGAGAGCTCAGAATCAACTCAGTATCAGTGGGTTTTGGTTTGGGGGTAAATATATCAACTTCCTTTTTCAATGTTCAGCCAAACATTCTTTATACAAGGTCTCCACCCCTCCATGCTGCCTGGTACCATGGACATGGGCTCAGAGGCCCAGCTCTGGCCGCCCACTTGCTAGGGGGCTCCAGACAAATCAGGCCTCAGTTTCTTCCATTCTGTGAAATGGAAAGCCTGTTGTCACTGTTAAGTGTTGTAACCTCCAGGGAACTCCCCAACTGTGTATTCCAGGATACCCAATCCCCAAGGCCTGGTCAAGCTCCCCCACCACTCACGTGATCACAACAGGGGCCACCTTGTTGGGGATGATGGACTTGGCCTTGCTGTTATGCAAGCTGGTAGTCTGGGAGGAGTGGGTGCTGAGAGACTGCCTCCCATCCATCGTGCCACCACCCTGGAGACTCTCGAAGGGAGTGCCTGCCGACACGGTCTGCTGGGCTGTACTGGCCGTTGTACCCATAGTCCGCAGGCAGCCTCAGGACCCAAGACCTGTGGGGTGAGAGAGCATGCAGTGAAGGAGGTGGTGGAGACTGCGCCGTCGTAGGAGGGGACCAAGCTCACCCCATGGCAGAAGGGGCAGCTCACGTGGCAGCAGGTCATGGAGGGCAGGTCTGCAGCATGGTCTCTGGGGGCCAACTATGTGCCTGGCCCTTCGCTGATGCTTTGGGGAAGGGACGGACATAGAGAGACATGTGAAGACACAGTCTAGGCCTCTGGCAAAGACAAGGCAGTGAGGAAAGGGCTGGACACCCACCGCTGGCCGGCCCAGGGTCCAAACACTCCAGCCTAGCTTACTGTGTACCCAAGACACCAGGGCTCCTATTCTGGTTTTACCAACAAATAAGACAGCCTCCTGGAGCTTGTGAGGTGATGCATGAGCCTCCTGACAAAAGAAAGGGCTTGAGGAGAGGTGGGTGGAATGGGTAACGTCTCTAAGAAAACACTCTTCCTTTGAAATGTCTCAAGCAGTGCAGAGGCCAAGCTTTGAGGGGCACAAAATCACCCAAGAAGAAAACCATGCACTGATGCAAAGAGGGGGTTGGACTTGGCCTTGAAAAATGTGGATGGGAGGAGGACGCAGGAAGAGGTCGCTGTCATGAAACTATACAAGATGAGGCTAAGGAAGTCCAGACCAGCTGAGTAAATAAGTAAGACTGGGAGCTCTCAGCTGATCACGGGTTCAGAAAAATCATGATGCCCCCCAAACTGCCATCAACTGCCAGCAGCTCCCACCGACCTGAAGAACGCCACATCCTCATTCCTCTTGGAGGAATCCCTCCTCAGGAAATACTCCAGGATGTTTGCAGAGTAGGTTACTGAGTGTTTTCTGGAAGCGCTGGAGATGACCCCATGGCCAAGCGCAGGGGCTGTGTTGAATACACTGTGGACCATTTTTAAGATCAAATGTTACACATCATACTGAATGCAGGGCCAGATAAAGGCAGGTGAGGGTCCTAAACACTGACAATCTGTTGTTCCCCTGTCCACTTACTCAGGCATTCTAACAGGGATGTGAGTCATATATAGACATGTATGGCGCTGTAAGGGTGGTGGCTCAAGCCCACCAGCTGTTCTTTGGAAATCCTATACAGGGTCATTATGAGTCAAAACCGACTCAACAACACGTAACAACAACATGTGTGTGTGTGTCTTGGTTATTCATGATGTAACGCCTTTTTAAATGCAACTATGATATTAGCGATTGAACTCAAAAGTGGAGTAAACCATTGTAGAAGAATGAGAAGAATCAGACTATAATTTTTTTTTTTTGTAGATGTGGGGTCCACTAAGATGCCATGTATATACCACATTTTCCATTAAGGAATATGCCACCTAGTCTACAACACGAAAATGCATCAGTGAGCTGAGCTGTTTCAACAATGAATGGAAAATTCCATTGATCTTGCACAACAAAAATCTGACTTTCACCACTTTTGCTCTGAATGGCTCATATTCCAATTTTGATCTTTCATCTCTACCCACCCCACTGCCACTGAATCGAATCCAACTCATAGCAACACTGTTAAGGCACAGAACTGCTTTGTGAGGGCTTCCGAGACCAAATCTTTACGGAAGCCAACTGCCACATCTTTCCCCTGCAGAGCAGCTGGTGGGTTTGAACCACTGACCAGCAGCCCAGTGTTTTAACCACTGTGCCACCAGAACACCTTTGCATCTCTAACATGTCATCCTTAAACCCATTCCTTCCCATTCTCTGCTCTTACAAATTCTTCAATTATTTCATCACAATTAAACTGGCAAACAGTATCTATTTTCTATATAATGAATGGGACCTCCCTTGAATTACTATGTACGCTGAGGGATTTTGAGTCTCCCGTAGGGATGAAAATGAGCTTTTCTGGTGTAGTTTGTGTATAAATATGTATAAGGCAATTTCAACATTGGGATATTTGTTGTTGTTGTTAGGTGCCATCGAGTCAGTACTAACTCACAGCCACCCTATGTACAACAGAACAAAATACTGCCCGGTCCTAGGCCAACCTCACAATCGTTGCTACACTTGAGCCATTGATGCTGCTACTGTGACAATCCTCCACTTTACCAACCATGATATCCTTCTCCAGTGACTGGTACCCTCCTAACAATACGACCTAAGTATGAGAAACAAAGTCTTGGCCATCCTGGCTTCCCAGGAGCACTCTGGCTGTACTTCATCTAACACAGCTCCATATGTTCTTTTGGTAGTCCATGGTACCGTTAACATTCTCCTTCAACACCGTAACTCAAATGCATCAATTCTTCTACGGTCTTCCTTATTCACTGCCCAGCTTTTGCATGCACATGAGGTTACGCACTGTATTTTATCTCCTATTATGAAATGACACATGAATCTGTAAACTTCATTACCATGTAAGAATGAAATTGTCACACTTCTCAAAAAAGGTTTGTACTGAAGTCCCCAAGGGAAAAGTACACTTGTTTCTTGGACGTCTTCATGCATCTGTTAGCAGGCCCTACCTACATTTTTTTAAGAAGGAAAACCTACTTTAAAGAACTTGGTAACACTTTTACCCTTCTTTCAATGCAAGATCCAAGTGCATCTAGCATTGCATCTTGCAAGATGACATAATATGTGGTCACATGAGAGATCTCTGGTACCCCGTGATTCCTTTGAAACACTCCCATCATGTACCTGTGTCTTCCTAATGCTTCTGCAATGGTGAACTACTTGATCATCAGAATTTGACAGCATTGGTTTTGCTGTTTTCAAAATCTCTTAAATCATGTAAATATCATGTTGATGATGTGTGTGTTTTTAAATTTCCTTCTGAATCTTGAAGCTTTTGAGTTGCCTAATGAAAATGCTGCTATATGTTTATTTACGAGTACTGCTCCATATAGTAGACAGTAGTACAACACAAGAATACTCTAGTGTTCATATTTGATCGGTGATATCTTCCACTCCTGTTCTAGTGTCTCCTTTTTGTGTCTGGCCCGCAGCAGTGTTTCCTAATCTGAGTGAGTCCCATTGCTATAGGATGAGCATCCACCATGTTTGACAAAGATATGTGAATACTCGACTATTGTCTAGATACGCTTTAAGAACGGTCCACTGGTGAGTGGTAGTAGTGGCTGTGTGCCCCTGAGGTGGTTCCGACTCACGGAGACCCTGTGAAAAGGGTTTCCAGGTTGTCAATCTAAAAGCCTCATCTTTCTCCCGAGGAGTGACTGGTAAACTCAAACTACTGACCTTGCAGTTAGCAGCCCAGCTTGTCATCAAGGCTTCTTATTAGTGAATAAAGGCGGCACAAAACAAGTACAGTAACTGAGCGGCACACACACACACACAAAAGCTGCTCTGAACCACAATCTGCTGCATTATATCCTACACACTTAGTGAACCACGTGCATCATCACGTGTAGGGAAATGGCGTATTCACTGCACGACCTATTGGCAATACTGGCAGAGGACCGGCCCTCCCCATTTACAAAAATCCATGTTGCAAATTTCATACCAACAGCGAGGTACTTGGTTTGTAAATTTTTAACTGGCAAGACTAGTTGTTGCTGTTGTTGTTAGTGCCATCAAGTCGGTTCCGACCCACAGCGACCCTGGACAGGGTTTCCGAGGAGCAGCTGGTGAGTTCAAACGGCTTTGCTGGACTAGTAAATGTGATTAATGGCTTGACAGGCTTTCAACCTATTGGAGATCTAAATCTTAAATGATAGTTAGCTGATCTGTATGAGAAAGATTAGGAGTGGAATCTACTGACAAATTCAACTTTGAGCTATTTCAATGAGAAGAGTTGAGCAAACTTTTTTATCACTTGCTAAGTTTACTAAGTCTTCAATAATTGTCTCAGACATTTATAAGGAGCTGCCCTTTCCTACATTACTATTATTTTGAGATTTGAGATGTACCCTACTTAAGACAGATCAAACTGAGAAATGATTTCAAGTAAACCCCCCAAATTTCTATTTTGTGGCTAACCAAACACTTCATTTCTTCCTCGAAATCATAGTCTATATTCAGCAATTGTTATAATGACAGCAACAACATGTTGCAAAATGGCTTTCCAAGACTGATGTTTTCCAGTAATGTGTTTCCAGTTCATGAGTGAGGCCAAAACCGTATCTTCAGCTTAAATATGATAACATACAACCTCTGAACTGAACTCCTTTCATGTTTAGCAATCAGTATCAATCATGCACCAATTGCTAAATCCATCTGCAGGAAGTCAATGACTTAAATGACTTCGTATTGAAAAGTCTGCAAACCAATATAGAGACTAATGGAGAATACAGAAGCCACTCCCTATTATAATTTTCTTAAAATTCTTACTCTGCATCCTAGAAATACATTCTAGCTATTGCATCCTAGAAATATATTCTAGCTACTGAATCTTGTTTGTTTACCATCTAGGCATTTTCCACACACATTTTCAAATGATCCGTTGTAATGCTGACAATCACCTGGCCCTCCTTTAGGTCCAATAATTTATATCATTAGAAAACGAAAACTACGCAAAGTCGGTGGTTTAAACCCACCAGCCACTCCTCGGAAACCCTATACAGGGTTGCTATGAGTCAGAACCGACTCAATAGCACTTAGCAACAACAACACAGATACAACGATTTCAGATTCTTACATTGTTTCACTTTCTACATCATTACTATTTTTACGACAGCAAGGAATGGATGCAGAATTTGGAACAACTTCTATTATATTCATATTGCTATTAGTAATTTTAGCACTAGTGGTACTGGTACAACTATTAGAACCCATTAACTGAAGAGGTGTTTTCTAATTCATTACATTCTTTAAAGGAAATTGAGTCTGAATTCACAAGTCCTTCTCTTTCCATCTTCTGGGAACCTTCATTTTGTACTCCCCTTAGTTATTGCCATTCATTTGACCTGGATATAAAATTACATCAGTTTTAAACTGGTTTGAATAATGTAAACAAATTTGAATAATGGAAAATTAAAATAAAAAGTATAAATCAA